GTGTGTGTGTGTGTGTGTGTGTGTGTGTGTGTGTGTGTACTGGTATATATGGTTTATGAGGACACAAATGTGTATAATGACATGGGTACTACAACCTGAAAATGGTTTATGAGGACACTTCCTGTGTCCCCGACTCCCGTAAAACAAAAGGCTTAAAAAACATACAAAACGGTGATTTATGAAATGCAAAAATTGGCAGTAGTTTTCTATAAGGGGTAGGTTTAGGTGTAGGGCGATAGAAAATACAGTTTGTACAGAGTATAAAAACTATTACGCCTATGGAGAGTCCCCGTAAACCACAAATGCAAGTGTGTGTGTGTGTGTGTGTGTGTGGCTATTTGTGAAGGCCAAATGTTTCAAAATGACCTCACAAATGAAGTGAAATGTTAAAAACTATGATGATATATGATATTGACGTGCTCTACTATTTGAATAGCTCATAAATCATGTTCTACTTTAAATCTACTGATATCAAGGTTTGTTTTAGGTTAAGGTTTTCGAGTTGGGGTTTAGCATAAATAAAGTTATTCCTTATTAAAATGCAGCTTCTTTAATAAAAAATAAATAAAATAATGAGTAATGAGAATTTGGGGGGAAAGTGACTCTCATTAAAGCAATCTCACATAAAATATTAATATTCATAAATATTTGTTGTTGTTGTTGAAATATGAACTTTGTATATATATTTCAACAAGAATAAACAGCTTTTAATGAATGCAAATAACAGAGAACTTATCAGATATATGTTTTATTTCATAAAAACATAGAACAATAAATGCAATTATTACTGTTAAACTACTTGAAACTAATATTTCTGTCAAAGTAACATTAGCAACTGTTTTTGTAAGAGCTTATTAATCCAGGACAAGGTGCACATTTCTCTCACAATTGTTTCATAGCAAATAAAAATAAAATGAGATTTAAAAAATTCAACATAGTCAAGCCTGCAAGATTCAAAACTGAATTCCTGATCTTTTTCGTGAAATGTGACATTTTATTTTCCTGATGTCTAATATAAAATTGTTTTAGTGGTATGGAATAATTCAGTGAGAGAAACTGCAATTATGGATGCAATTAAAAGCAAATGCAAATAAATTTTCATGGCACTGAAAAACATCACAAACAAAGACAAATATTTACATAATGTATCACCTGACAGAATAGAAAAAACCCCCAAAAGAAATCAAAGAAAATCTGACTGTTTTATAATAACTGTGGGAAGTTTAGTGTCCTGAGGTGAGGTTTTGTGAAACACTTTACTTTGTGATTTATTTTTGTTTGTTTTAGCTGAATCATGAGAGGAGTTCCCCCCCATCAGATCTGATCTAGGAGAACCAGAGCCCGTTCTAACCCAAACCCAGAGTCTATACCGCACACAGAGTCACAGAGGCATCAAAAGAGATGGAAGAGAGCCGCGTTCACGCTGCAGCCTCGCATCTTTGGCTGAACAGCACCTCCACGACCTTGGGGTCAGCCAGGGTCGAAAGGTCACCCAGGTCTTTTTCATTGCGGGCGATCTGTCGCAGAACTCGACGCATGATCTTACCTGCAGGACGGGTGAAAAGCTTCAGTTTAGGAGCGAAAGCAGAGATGTGGGGAGAAACTGAAAATGCAAGATCCCAGTACCTGAACGGGTTTTGGGAAGCCCTGGAGCATTCTGGATGAAATCTGGGGTGGCGATTGGTCCAATCTTCTCCCTCACTGAATGAAAAGCTCACGTTAGTAAGAATGGAATAGATTCAGATTGTATTTTCTCTCAGTGTTTAATGTGATCATGACCTCTGACCTTTTCTCTTTAGTTCTTCCATCAGCGTGCGGTTGAACTCTTTGTGGTCTTTCAGAGTGACGAAGCAGTACAGACACTCTCCCTTCACTGCATGAGGCCGACTGACCACCGCAGCTTCAGCCACCGACGGGTGTTCGGTCAGAGCCGCCTCCACTTCTGCTGTGCTCAACAAATGACCTGAGAGACGAGACGCGACGGAAATAATCACTACTGTTCAAAAGTCTGGGGTCAGTATGATTCTTCTTTTAAAGAATTAATGCTTTTATTCGGCAAGGATGCATTAAATTGGTCAAAAGTGGCAGTAAAGACATTCGTAATGTTACAAAAGATTTCTATTTCAAATCAATGCCGTTCTTTTGAACTTTCTATTCATAAAAAAATAAAAAATAAAATAAAAAAATGAATCATGGTTTCCACCAAAATATGAAGCAGCACAACAATTTTCAACATTGATATTCCAACAGAAAGTAATTATTTCAAACTGTAATAATATTTCACAATATTACTGTTTTTACTGTATTTTTGATCAAATAAATTCAGCCTAGGTGAGCAGAAGAGACTTCTTTTAAAAATATTTAAAACTCATGCTTCCAAACTTTTGTCAAGTACTGTGTGTGTGTGTGTGTATAGATAGATATATAATAATCATTTGTTGCTGCCGTAAAGCGATTCGCCCTTTTCGCGGGATTTCATACCCGCCCACCAGAACAGACGTTTGGGAAAGAAACAGAAGCCATTCGCCTTATTAGAAGTCAGTGTACCATCAGAATGATTTTAAAACTGATATTTCAGGGTAAAAAACAAACACATTTGCTTCTCGAATGCCGAGAAGGAATTAGGAAAAGTAATGTGTCATCTCTAACCACTAGGTGGCAGCACTGAAACACAGTCTGAGAGTCTCACCAGAGACATTCAGCATGTCATCGATCCGGCCGGTGATCCAGTAATATCCGTCCTTGTCCCGCCTGCAGCCTGAGGACAGAAGGACCCTCGGTTACAGTAACGCACATCCTGCCATACGATACAGCAACAGCTCATGCTGTAAATAGCAACTGCTGAAGTTTGGTGACTCTGCTGAAACAGCTACATGGTGACTGGTAATGTACACATCACGAATACATATTAAGTAACTGCCTGTTATTCAGTCAGATTGCTTTTTGGATGTAAGCTGTAAAGTAATGCATTACCTTTTGAATTTACATCATTACACATGAGTTACTTTTCAAACAAATAACGGACTTATTTATTTATTTATTTACTGACAAATAAACTTTTAATTTTACACATACAGCAAAAAAAAATAAAAAATTTACATTTTGATTTTTTTGTTGTTGAGATTTTAATTTAATTGCTTTCTGGAAAAAACATGTAAAGCAACCTTAACTTTTGAATTTACATCATAATACCTACATTACCATCTCCTGTCACATAGAATCCTGGGAATTTTCTGAAGTAGGTGCTCTCGAATCGCTCCTGATTCCCGTACACACCCCTCATGATTCCCGGCCAGGGCTTCCGGAAAACCTGAGACCAAAACATCCGTTTATAGTCAGAATAAACTGCTCCAGTTTGGAATATCTGAACCACTGCTTGATCTTTAAGGATGAAACGTTATAAAAATAGGTTGAGAACATCATTCGATGTTGACTTCAATAACAATCCACGTAACCTGTTATAACCAATCTAAAACTAGGATGAAAATCTCACCAGGTATCCCTCTGCCTCGCCTTCTAATTCTTCTCCGTGTTCATTGAGAATGGCAGGCTGGACTCCAAAAAATGGGCACGTCTGCACAGAGAGGACACGTAAATATCAGAGTCATCCATCCCCATTTTTAACAGTGTCATCAAGACAGATTTAAGATGTAATAAGTGAAGGTGAATTTCCGGAGACTCACGGCAGATCCTGGCTTCAGTGGTGTAGCAGCTGGAAGTGGAGTCAGAACATGGCCACCCTGCCGACACAACAAACAGAGTTAACTAATAACTTATTATTAGTGTCTATTATGTGACATTTCATGCAAGCAATAATGCACTTTGTGGTAAAATGCTGATTTTACCACAGTTAAAGGGGGTTTTAGGCAACTTTGTTCCAAAAAAAAAACTTGGTTTTGATTGTTGTAAATGTTTTACCGTCTCCGTTTGCCAGAAGGTGTCGATAACCGGACAGCGCTGCTGACCCACAACATCATAATACCAAAGCCAAGCCTCCGGGTTTATGGGTTCACCAACCGTTCCTAACACACGCAAACTGGACAGATCATACCTGAAACAGACAGAAACAAGATTACTAAGATAACTAGTTTTCCACACTGCGGTGCAATATTTGTACAATATCTGAAAACAGACAAAAAACATCCATGTTTGAAGCACATGACATATTGACACAAGGTAATTTTTCTAAACTCTCTATGAGCACAATCACACCACTGAGAAATGTGTGAGAGACTCATCACACAACATGAATGTGTGAGTTCAACACTATCGGCTACTAACTAACCATTTAACAACATCTGTACCAGGTCGTAGCAGGACTAGTTGACTTGTTGCAATAGCTTTAATAAGTCAAATAAAACATCCTGAGATTCTGATACGGCTCAATGAAGGATTTGGTTTTCTGAGGCCTCCAGCTCCCCCTGGAGGACAACCCTTTGTATAATACAATAATATTTATGTATATAATTATTAATTACTATTATTATATACATGTTTTTATTATTACATAACATGTTAACAATAATAGCTGCAATTTTTTTTTTTTTTAGGTTGTGGAGTATAATGGATGGGTGAGAGGTTGATGTAAACAGAGGTTCCTCTGATAGCGGAGAGCAGCAGACAGGGACGTACCTCTCCTTACAGCGCTCCAGAGCTTCAGACGCAATCTTCTTCAGATTGATCAGCTTGTCACCTCTGTAAACACCATCTGTAGGACACATATACACCAAGAGAGAGAGAGAAAGAAAGAGCAAACACATGAGATAGGAAGAGAAAGATAGACTGTAGGATGATGCACAGGATTTTATCAGTCTTTAGTATCCCCCCCCCCCCTCTTAAAATAATCACATTTTGTTGCTTTGCAGCCTGAAATAAAGACAGACACAGTTTTTGTTTTATCCAGCTGTATTTAAAGATATAACACCAACATGTCAGAAAAATAAAAAACCAGAATCACTGAGTT